TCTCAGGGGGTCGTAGTCGTCGTCGTTGTCGCTGTGAGCGATTCATGGAATCAAGACCCAGAGTCAGATTGCAACTGCAGGGGCCCCAAAGCTTCGTGACTGTAAACACACGTGGTGAGAGTGCTTCTGGACAGTCGGTGTCATCGTCGGGGTCGAGTTGCGGAACCGGTTCGAGTTCTTCCTCGAGCCGCAGTGGAGAGAATAAGAGGACTGCAGATGGGAAGCTGAAGAACCTGAAGGTGCTGATAGCTAGCAAAGCTGAAAACACTTCGCAGAATGCGATGTCCATCTACAGGCAACGGTGCAAGACATGGAAGCTGGGAGCAGGCAGCCACAAGAGCCCAGCTTCTGCCCACGAACGCGTGGTGTGGCTGAGTGAGCGGAAAACCCCTACTTGGGGGGTTGGCTGCAGTCTGTGTGCCGCCCTCATGGTCAGGTCGAAGATGTTCGATGCCCAGCAGAAGCAGAATTCGCGAAGAACTTTCACCAAGTGGGCCAAGTATGGTATTGTGTCCGCCCGATCAATGCAGTCCTGTGCCATACGCAAGCATGCAGAGAGTGCCGTGCACCAAGCCGCTTTCAGATTTTATTTTATGCCTGCTTCTTTGGAGACACTGCCAGTAAACAGGGATGCTGACCTGGCATTACTGCGAGGTTCGGTGCCGCAGCCATCGGACTGGTTGCAAGCACTCGCCGCTGCCAAGGAGTCCCTCAGCAGCCGAACAGCGATGCGGCTCTCCTTGACGGACCAGTTTGTGCATAGCACCCGTGCATGCATATCTGCAATCACAGATCGTGCGGTGGCGCAAATGCACACTATTCTTCAGGAGACAATTCGCGGTCGAAAACGCAAGTTGCTGGCCGAGGCCTCGTCCATCAGTCTGACAGTGGACGACAAGTCACCGTTCCGGCTAGTTCGCTTCAAAGCGGCCAGTGGCAAGGGCGAGGTCAGCTCGGGCATTTTGTGTCTCATAAAGCCTTCTAAGATGCTGGAAGACGACCCAGAGGCCTGGGACAATGACAAGTCCCAGCTAGCAGCTGACAGCATAGCGGCTGGAATCAAGGAATTCTGTACGAGGTTGCACAGCGATACCTTGGACGCAGAGCTGTACTCCCACATCCTCTGCAGCATTCATTCGTTCAGTGCCGATGGCGCTAGCTATGCCCAGAAGGTCGGGAAACTCTTGAGAAGGAGGCACTGCCGCAATATTGCTGTTATCTGGAGGGATAGTTCCCATATGTTGCGTCTGGCAGCACAAAACCCGCTCGACGGCCTCACGGTCTACAGTAACGCCTACGAAGCACTCTTTGGCTGCAAAGGCCCCCTGCCTATGTTGCAGCACTCCCATGAATGGAGATCCAAGCTCGCATCGCTCTCACGAAGGATGCTACAGGACGAGCTGCTAGGCGGCGTTCTGAAACATGGCTTGAAACACTTTTCATGGGCCCAGCAACGCTGGGAAAGCAGCTCGGTGCCGCACAGAAGCTGGTCTTTGCCCAAGAAGACGTTTATTCTTGCAGTTTTCAAAAAAATACGACTAATTAAACAGCCCAGCCAACCAGTGAAGCTGCTTGATCCAAGGACGGTTTTGCTTCCTCGTCCAGCCGATCGCTTTGCTGCTTGCCATGGTTGCAGGCGATGTGAGGTCGGAGTCGGCGTCGAGGTCGAAATGTCATGAGACACTGGCATCGTTGCGACCTGGGCTGCTGGTCATGGTGGGGCTATGCGCAGACTACATGGCAGAAATCATGCCTTTTTTACGGCATTTCGAGAAAGATGTGGACGTTGCACAGCTGCCAAGGATCATAGCAGAGTTTCGGAACCGCTTGCGGAAGCTTTTTCTGGAGTGCCGTATCCTGGAAGACATCGACGACAGCGAGGGAGTGGATGACACCATGCAATCTTGCAACTCTACTTGATTGTTGTATCCAGTGGTTAGTCTGTGGATTGTTGCAATTCCTCCGTGATGTCGCTGTTGAAAATATCCTGAAACCCTGAACCATCCTGCGACCCTCAACCCGATACCCTGAAACACTGAAAAATTGTGTCGCCAAGTAGTTTCTTATTATTATGATTATTATGAGATTTATAGTCAGACACTAGAGCCCAGATACCTATTATTAGTAAGCTGCTCTCCTGAGACTCAGGCGTCGCTTTGGTCACCCGCAATGCAATGAGGACCCCACCGATTCATGTGGGCTCAAGAATATACCA